ACATATATATATATATATATTTATTCTACTTTTATAGGTTTGGAGTGGAAGGCTTGTTAGTGAAGAGGTGAAGTGTCTTTCACAAGGTCCAAACCATATTGTGAAACGATACAAAGGTTTCATCATCACTAGATTTTGATTTCATACTAAATCTCATGAGAGATTTAGAAGTACACAAAATTCAAGAGTTGTTGGGACTTCATCAACTACTAGCTATGCTAGTACTAGGGACAGAAACCCTTTAGAGGAAAATGTTGACTATTATGGCATGATAAATGACATCATTGAGTTGGATTATTATGGCAAGTGAAAAGTTATCTTATTTTGGTGTGATTGGGTTGATGTGAATAGTGCTAGAGGTATTAAGAAAGATCAATATGAATTTACACTTGTTAATTTTTCTCGATTAATTCACATTGGACAATAACTCATTGATGAACTTTATATTTTTTCATCTCAAGCCAAATAAGTTTTTTACTCTGAAGATCCCAAAGAATTAGGTTAGTTTGTTATTCTTCGAAACACACCTAAAGACTTATTTGATATGGGATTAGATACCAAAGATGATGTTGAACATGAAACTGAATGTTATCCTTTTGTTGAATAAAACTTGGATGAAAATATCTCCAATACCTACACTCAGTGGATCTGTAAATATGTTACTGAAGATAATTATGAACCATGAAATGGTGTATCTATAATTTATAATTTGAGTGTTTAAGACATAATGTAGTAAATGATTGTATGTAATTAATGTCACATTTGCTATTGTATAATTATTGTATTCTAAATCATACATTATCTTTTGATTTAATTAAATTGATATGTTCTTTATATATCGTAGGTTTTGATTTCTTAACTCCTTAATGTCTTTATATATGTTCTAAACTAATATCTTTTCTATATTCGCTTTTATGTTGTAAGTAAGCTACAATACAGAGGAGTAGGTTGAAAGGAATACATATCAGAAATATTAGTTCAGAATCGTCTATGACACCTGCTGATATTTGTTATGGATTGAATCCTTTAGAAGAAAATGGATGTATTGTCGGATCTAACTCCGTCACTTCTAACCCTTCAACTGATATTGAATTTTGCAACACGAGATGTCCAGGTTTAGATAGCATCCCATCAATTGATTATGCTTTAAATTTGAATGCAAGTATCATATACCCCAATTGTAGAATTCGAATATAATGATAAAAATATTACGATTTTACAAATTTATTTTTTATTTGTTGCAGTTGATAACAATGGTCAATGGAGGACCAGAGGTAGGACAACTTTGAAGAAATTATTTGCACTACCTCCTAATGAGCATATTGTAATGTCTACAAACTCTGATAAGTAACCAATTGGTGAAGAGGCTCAACTGTTGACTGGATTTCAAGGCATGCTTGCCTATAATGGAATGAAATTGCCTATTCATTATGAAACATGGCATAAAGTTCCAAAAGAAGTTAAGGCCGAGGCTTTAAACTTTATTGAGGTATTAGTATAATTAATTACATATAAAAAATTTATTATTTTACATTTTGTTTACTTATTCAAACTTTTTTTATTGTATTATTACAGTCAAAATTTGTACTTGAAATACCAACTTTATTTATGCTTAAGTCATTGAGAAAGAAATGGAAAGATTATAAGAATATTTTGAAGAATAAGTATTTCGATCAAAATACTACTGTAGAGGTGATGATGGAAAATCTATCCCGCAATGTGATTAGTTGGCAATATAAACAATTAGTTAGATTTTAGTTCTCAAGAAAATGACAGGTACTAATTTATAACTTTGTATAGTATAATGAAATGATGAAAGTGTTTTATCCTTTAAGTTGGTAATATTTGTATTTCTATCATATAAGCAATTATTTTTTATGACAAAAAAGTGAACAGATTGAGATTGGAAGTAGAAAGCAACAGAAATATAGCTACACAAGTGGATCAAAAAGTTTTGCAAGAAAGCAAAAAGAAATAGTAAGTTTATGATTTTAAATTTATTTCAATGAATGAACTTTTTGTGCCATTAAAAGGTAAATATGCAAATTAACAGTAATTGTTTTGTTTTCATAGTTTTCATAGTTTTAATACATGATATTAAACTTATCGAACGTTTTGAACTTAGTTGACACGGATGATATGTATGAAAAAGTTATGGTTTTCATATATTTAGCTAAAAGTACAAATTGTTGTTATTGTTGTAATTTAACAGTTTGGATAGCTTTAATACTTGATATTAATTATTGAACGATTGATTGAACTTGGTTTCTACGGTTGATATGAGATAAAAAGTTGTTGTTTATGTCTATTTGGGACTATTTTTGCATATAAAAGGCAAATATACAAATTAAACTTTTGGATGGCTTTCAACATATTAAATGGCTTTAATCCAGGATATTAAACTTGTCCAAATAATTGAATTTGGTTTCCATGATCGATATGTGTGAAAGCCCAAAATGTTTTTATTGTTTGTGTATGTTTAAAACTATTATGTTGTTACGAGGCCAAAATATAAATACATGATATTAAAATTATTCAAAATTTTAATACTTGATTGACAGGCTTGATATGCATAAATCAGTTACGGTTGATATGTATCCTATCAAGTAACATATGTTTTTGTATAGGAGAATGAGTTGGGCGGTAAAAATGGACGTGTGAAACTTTTTCACATAACACAAAAAATATAAATCTTACATGAATGTCGAAACACAAGAAATTATGGTAATTTGTAACATCTATTTTAACAGAAAGTAAATATTTACTCATTTTGACATATTATGAATTAATCATTAAACTTGATAGTTGTATATGACAAATTCACCAGAAAAAGCGAAAGAGAAAATGACTATTGAGATTGAAGTAGCATCTGATGGTTCTCTCAACATGCAAGAAATGAAAAATTGGATATTCATAAAAGTTACTAGAAAAAAAAGGCATGGACAAGTCCGAGGCCTTGGATTGGGTCCAACACCATCTACCTACTATGGACATAGCTCTTAACAATTTATATTCTCAACAAATCAGTCTTTGCAAAACATTTTAATATTGAGAGAGGAGTTTCAGCAAATGAAAGCAGAAAGAGAACAAAAGTGTGCCAAAATTAAGGATGAACATGCTAGAATAAAGCAAGAGTGTGCAAAATTTCAACAGTTGCATTATTGATTCGATTATCTTATAAATTTTATGCAACAACAATTTCCAGGAACTGCTCTCTATGCTCCACCAACTCAGGTATTATATTTAGTAAACATTTAAATTTTTAAATATAAAAAAAGCTTACAATGAAGTGTTAAAAATTATATAGTATTATTCAGTAGTAGGTTCTTAAACATGCTCGTAAACAATGTGAAAATTTTTCTTCATCAATTGGCAGTTAGCAAAATCTATGCAGTCATCCATTTCATACATTTAAATTTTATTTTGTTAATGTATTAAAAATATTTGAATGTTATTATACTAATTATTAAATTTTGTGTTAATTAGATGCATATTTAAACGTGAATTAAGTTTATATTAATTTCAGTTTTTAAATTTAAGCTCTTTTATGAAAATAAAAATTATGAACAAAAATTTTTAAAAAATTTTGGTAGTAGCAGCATTGTTACCAGCAAATGCCACCAAAGCAATGTTATTTTTCTCATAAAAACACTACTAAATTAGTAGTATCTGAAAGAGAAAAATGCTGCTAATATAGAGGTATTTTCAAATACAAATGCCTCTAATATAGCGACGTTTTTAGTTATAAATACCACTAAAGCAATGATATTTTTCTCATAAAAATATCACTAAATTAGAGGCGTCTCAAAAATACAAATGCCGCTAATATAGAAGCATTTTCATATACAAATGCCTCTAAAATGAAGGCGTTTTTAATTACAAACGCCACCAAAAGCAATAGCATTTTTCTCATAAAAACGTCATTTTTTTTGTGATGCGTGTATAATCGATACTTTGATTGATCTTTTTTACAACATCACAACTCTTTTAGTGGCGTTTATAAACGCCACTAAACATTAAAAAAAAAACTCTTATTAAAAACTTAAATCCTTGTAGTGAAACTTTCTTAAAAGACTTTTTTTTTCTTTCATAAGCTAGATGAGATAGAGACATGTTTTTTCTCTTTCTATTATGGTAGGCTTTAAGAAAGTTAATAATCTCTAAGATGAATGATTCTAGCAAAAAAAAAAGTATTATATCAGTAAGAAAAGAAAGGTATAAAACGTAGAGGAGGTGGAGCAGACTCCAAATACTTTTCCCCTTAAATTTTAATCACAACAAAGATTAGGAATTTTGGAACCTATCTTTTCTGGGAGACACAATTTGGTCATTTATCACATCTTTAATTACTTCCGCTTGCCTTTTCCTTTGTGGCAATTGTGAAGCCCCTTTCAGCTTTTGTGACATCATTAGGACCGTAATAAGTGGTAAGATCTTCTACGTTAATTATTGGACTATTCTCTAAATCTTGTGGTTACTCTCAAACATAATGTTGATAGTTTAGAATATGGTATATCTTATATTGGATTAAAAAATTTAATTATTGATTAATTAAATTAATTTTTGTATTAATATTATTCATATTTTAAATAATATATTTAAATAAAAATAATTTAAATATAAATAAATTATTATTCATAAAAATTATATTATTATACAAACGATCATAATTATTTGAATAAAAATTTACATTTGTTCATTTTGTATAAATAAATCTTTCAATATAATTATTTTCACTACTTCTGATTAAAGAGTTTGAGGTTTTATTGTATCCTCATAATTACTTTTAAAAAAAAACTTTCACCCCTCAAAATCAAATTTCTTTTCAATTATTTTTCTTTCTCTTATTTATTTTTTATAACACACATAAGCATTAGTACAATTCCCTTTGACATTTTCTAAGGACCTACACTCTCTCAACTATAGTTTCTTAAAAGAGCTTCTAGGAAATCTTTCGGGTTAGATACAAACCATAATCATTTCACCTTCTCTGAAATCTGCCTCTTTTTTTTTCTTAGCTTCTGTTGCTAAATATAATTTTCCTACGAACTTCATCATGTTGGCGAGTGCTGAATTTTTGGACAATGCATGCTACATCTCTCTGCAAGCTGGGCCTTATCAATCTGTCCACCTTGGCTATAGTTTTGTCACGTCGAAAATGTTGTGCTGCCTCAGCAGAATGTAAGTCTAATATTACTTCATCTCTTGATGGAGAAGAGATGAAGTATTTGGAAGGCAAAAGCATCTTTAAATAGGTAACCACCATGTATGGAACAGGATGGATATCACCTAGTTGTCCATCCATTAATGCTGCATTTATGATACTGAAATCTTTGCATATTGAATGATCCCTCTGCGATTACTCAAATCCAATTACTTGGACATACATACAATTTAGGATGTAGATCATTCTACTCAAGCATCAATAGCCTCTTTCTATTTACTTTCTGCTTAAACTTATCTTTGCAGGTTCAGTAATCTTCATATTTTCCTTGGTATACTTCTTGAGTACTTCCTCGGGCATAGGCTTCTTCAATACTACTTTCTTATTGTTGAACAGAAAGTACTAAATATTGGCCTTCGCACGTGGTCTAGCGAAAAGAATACATCTAACAGTCATAGGCACACTATCAACCCAGATATCATCTTTATAGCCCATAGAAATAGAAACAAGAGCAGGATATGTTACTGGAATGGTGGTTTTTTCCAGGCAAGTGATCTTGTAAGGCTGCGGATGTGATCGAACTTTGATTTGTAGACTGATATCGGTTTCATAGAACTGCCACCATCAATTATGTGCTTACTAAACTTGTCACCGCTCTTGACTAGAGTGTAAAAAATAGCAACTCGAAGCTAATCTTCCTTATCTTCCACTTTTCTTGCTGCTAATAGTTGCCTTACCACACAAATTCGTATTACGACATTATAAAGTTAGTTTTAATGTTTCACGTTCATTGTCTTCATCATCTGTGTATTCTCCAACTTCATGCTCAAATGTTTCAACTTCAACTGTTCAGCACTGATTTTTTTTTTTTAATTCCCATTTGAAGATTCTTGGTTCGACACTGGAAAATACATCGACTTTTGCACCCACATCTAAAAACAATTGAAGCTCTTGTCCTTCGTTGTTGGGTCAGATGCAGTTGAGATTGAAGCTCATCCTTCGTTGTTGGCTCAGAGGCAGATGTTACTTTAGAATCAAGAGCTCGAGTTGTCGCTGCTAGAAAAAGTAATTTTTGACATCGCTTAATGTCATTGTAAAATAGTAATTTATTGTTGCCAAAATTTTTGCATAATAAAAAATAAATCATTACAATGTCATTGTATGCACTTTTATTGTTAATAGTATACGAAATGATTTTTATATAAAATATCATTTCAAAAAATATTTATTAAAACATCCTTTTTTTTCATTGATAAATAAATTATGTTTGGACAACGATTTAATGTAATTGTCAAAAATTTCTTTTAATAACCATATATTTGATTACCAAAACTTTTACATAATTTGATTACAAAATCTTTTACGTAGTAGGATAATCTTGGTTGCTTAAAATTTTTTTACAACAAAATATTTTTAGTTGCAAGTCATCTTTAGCAATAATTATTTTGTCATAACAATAATTAATTTAATATCGATAATAACCGTTATCAAAAGTTCTTATGAAACCACAATTTTGTGTTTCTTATATTTTTACAACTAAAAAAAATTTAATAACTAATATTATTATTGCAAACAATCTTTCTCAAATAATATTTGTGTCCATACAAATAATAAACAAATATTTGGCAACCATTTTATTAACTTTAGGAACAACTAATATTTTTACTAAAAATCATTGCAATTCATCTCATTGTGATAGTTTAAATATTTATTACTATGAAAATTGAGAATTGAAAAAAAAAATTCATGGGCAAAAAAAAGAATTCATTTAAAAGAAAATTAAAATATTAAATCATCTAAATTTGTCCCAAAACATATTAGGACAACTAAAATTTCTAAATAAATAAAAATAATTCTGAATGTAATATAAGATTTAAAACTTACAACTCCATTAAGTGTCTTAAGACGCCTGCTGGCGGAAAGTAGGAATCCTTCCATCCCGAACCACGGCTGAGGTGTAATTTCCAACTTAGATTAAATGACATACCGATATGGGATGAAACTATATTTCCACTTCCTGTTCCATTTATATTGGCCGGTGAATGCAATGGATTCAACAACGAATTAAACTGAGGTTTCCAATACGCAGCAGCAATTGACTTGAGGTGCCGCTTTGTCCAAAGGCAAAGCATCCTAGAGCTGCGAAGACAAAAACAATGCATCAACAAAATTCAGAAACATAGTAAATCTGTTGAACACCCACTCAACCTCCAATCAAGAAAGAAAGCAATTTAAAGATAGAATCGTGTTTGCACAAAACATGCAAATATTAGGTTCTGAAGATAGTGTCAGAGGCTGATTGACGTTTTGCATAACAAAGAGTAGACTAGGATCATAATCATTGCTCTATGTTTTGCATCACATCAAAGTTGCTACATGGAAAACAAATTAAGCTTAATGCTACAAAGTAGAGTTTGGAAAAATACCTTCTTTAATCGTTTTCTGAACATCTTTTAGTAGGAGACACTAACAGCAGCAAGGTGTGCCCTACTCCATTCACTAAAAATTTGCATGAAGCATATGCTTCGGCCAATGTCTTCGGTCACTTCTTTTAGATTGCAAGTATTTTTATTGCATATCCCTTTCTGGTTTGGAATCTCAACTCGGCTCTTGCACCAAACTAATCTAATGTTGTATCTCACAATCATTGAATCAAATGAGAGTTATATAGGCTTGTAGCTGATATTATCATATTTGCCTTAGAATTTTGTAATTTTCAAGCAATTCCTCTTCTGATAAAGAATCACTCTCATATGTTTTGGGGCCCAAAACACCTTTACAGCCTATAAGAAAGAGGCAAGTCCTTATTATATAGACATCAAAGATGAATAATTAAGCATGTAAATATATATATATATATATATATATATAGATTTCAGTCCTTATTCCTTGCCATGGTTCTGCTGGAACTGATGTCACCTAAAGATTTCAATGCCTCTATCATGTCGTCTTTGCTTCTAACAATAATATATTTTGGCAACTACTCTATTTTTCCCCGTTCAAGAAAAAGAAATTTATTAATTTATACAAAGAGTGACCTCATGAATAAAGGACTAAGACTCTAGCATTTTAGAACTACATCCACAAACAGTGATTCTAAGAGACTTTCATATAAAATTCTACCATTAAACAAACCCAATAAAAGCATATTCCATAAATCAATTCCGTTTACAGAGCCAAATCTCAAGTTGCATAGAATTGGACTCAATGTCATAAAATGAGACAAAGAAGAACCCAACAGTCTTCATAACAAATAACAATTCAACTTCAAGAAGTTTCCATGGATTAGTGCAATATAGGATTCTAAGAGACATTTTACCAAATAGCTCAAATGCACATTAAAAAAATACCCAAACCATTGAACAAAAAGTAACATATAGCATTAGAAAGAATCATATTTTTAGTTCCTTTATTAAGATTAAAAAATGAAACATAAACAGTATTAGAAAGAAAATGATTTAATAAGCACTCCTAAGTGGTTGAGACATTCATAAAAGGAATAAAAAAAAAAATTACAATTTCTATGTTCTGTACATTAGATAAAATAGTAGTAATATCATCGCCCAAATTTTGAAACAATTGTAGAATACATCACGACCAATCAAATCGTTTCATAGTGCTCATTCATATTGAAGTCGCATAAAATTAGTTATTTTATCTAATTCATAACCCACAATTAAATGTTAAGTCTTGAGAATTGTAAATACTCAGCGACTTGAATCATGAAATTAAACTAAAAAAATTTTCTAATCCTTTCGTTCAACGAAGTAGCCTAAAACAATTAAGCAAAAAAAGAATGCCCTAACTCGGAGAAAACCCCAACCTTTTTTTTTTACCTTCTAAAACTTGGAGACGTCTGTAATCACCAACATGAAGAAAAGCGAAAGAGTTCTTGTCCAAAGGTATGAGATCGCCATTACCGCTGCCTGTGACACATCCGCCAACAGATATCCCAATGTCATGGCCAGTGCCTAAATATGGAAGAAAAAAGAGTTTCAAATTTTAGAGAACCAAAGGGGTATCCGAGAATAGGGAAAATAATGACCAAAGATATAAGGGCCAGTGCGAGACAAGTAAGATGCGAACTTCCAATAAAAAAAAATATTATTTTTGTATAAAATACTAAGAAATATAAAAAAATAATGACTTTAAAAAATCTTTGCAAATATGATAAAATTTTGCTATGATATTTTTAGTCTTGTCAATTTGATAGACGCTACCGGAGACTAAAAAAAATTAATTTATTATTTTTATGAACTATCAATTAATTTTAAAAAATATCAAAAATTATATAATAAAATATAATAATTATAAAAATATATATTTAAATTATTTAATCTTATCAAAAAAAAATTTTAAGTATTTTATTTTCACGACTACAATTATTCAAACATGTATATTATATAAAACAATTAAATATGTGCAAACAAATGAACAAATAAATATATAAATAAAAAGAAAAGCTTTGAAAAGGTTGAACCCTAAATGCAATCGTGTTATGGACAAAAAAAAAAAAAAAAAAAAACAGGTTAAGTACATTGATGGATTAGTGCACAGATCAAAAGATAATCTGACTCAAAGATAGGGTACCGTTTGGCCTTATCTTAAAAAAAAATTAGATTTTCCAAAAACAATTTTATGTAAAGTATTAAAAAATTTTAATTTGATAATGACTAAAAAAATTATTGTCAATCTATTAATATTTTAGAACAATTTTTTTTGTCGTTATAAACGTTATATGAATATCGTAATTATTTTTTTTTTGTTGTTGTTGTTAGATAAAATATTTAAAAAATTAATTAAACAACAATAGTTAAAAATATAATATGATTTCATATTGATTTTTTTTATCATTACAAATTATATAAGAATTTGTAGTAATAAAAAATATCGTTATATAAAATATAAAAGATCAAATAAATAACTATTATAAAAAATTATTACAAATATAATGATTTTTTATAGTGGTATTTTTAGTCATTACAAATTGTGATTGCCAAAATCAGTTTTTCTAGTAGTATGTATTTGACTCTCTAGGTTTAAAAACTGTAAGCATTGGTAAAAGTTGGCTTAGCATAGTCGGTTGCCATCTCCAATTGAATATCCATTGGAAGGCCTCCTTTACAATTGTTTAAATAAGTAGTTGATCTTTTAAAATATAAAGTTCTAACTCTGATATTGGATGTAATGAAGTAATAAATTTAAAATAAGAGAATAATAACTGAAGAAATAGTTTGAAATCAAATAGAAACTTTAGTCCAGTCACGCCATAATTAAATATTAATACTTATTGGTGAAAAAGAATTCTGCAGCCTAGAATATCCTTAAGGGTGAGGTAATTCAAAATAGTTACTCGTCAAAAATGTACTAGACAAACAGACAGTAGCCACTCAATAATATAGAATTAGAATAATAAGCAATAGATAGCATAGCAGCCTAGCCAAGTTCCCAAGCTAGGCCAATCTTCATTGTGGAGCAGCCAAATAAGAAAAAGTTTCCATCTTTCAAGTGCTAATTGGGTAGTCCTACTTATGGACTCGCAGGGGTAGAGAGGAAGGTGTAAGCTTTAACAGCATGGGGCTAATAAATACATAACATAATAATCATAATTAATTAATTAATTAGACTTTTAATATGGGGCTAATTTTGTAGATCTTAAAGCTAACACGAAAACATTCATCATGTGAGTCCCTTTCTGCTATATGATTCCCTTTTTTTTTCATTTATGTTTTATTTAATATATAAACTTCGATTAAATGGCCCAAGAATCTTTTATGCTATGACTTTATTAGAAGGTGGACCAGAGAAACTTCATTGCTTTGTTTCCTTGTTAGTAGAAGCTGTGCCTGTGAGCCTGTTTAATGCCTTTCCCACCAAAGTTAAAATGTGGAAAAATAAAAAATGAAAGAAAAAAAAAAAAGTTAAGCACGGCACAGGTAAAACCATAAGGACTGCTACCCTTACCAAACTTTCTTCCACAGGTCTTCAGACAGTTAGGAGGGAAATGAATATCATCTCATCGGATTCTCTCTGATCATTCATATCTTCCAACAATTCCATTTTGCTGTGTTATTTTGGGCCAATAAACTAAAATATTTTCCAGGGCATGCCGAGTGCAGAAATTATTGAGAAGAGAAGATTCCTTGAAACTACGTTTTAAATTTACCAAGGTTTATGAGAACAAATACAAAAATAAAATTATTCTGTTTTGTAATTCAATTGATGACTTTTCCAAGAAGGTTTAAGGAGAAACGTGACATTTACCCAAAATTTTCATGTTTGGGATTTATCCATTGTAAATTTATATACTATTATTATTAATCTTTTTGAGTTAAATTTAAATGAAAATCAATTACTTATTTTTAATAAAAAATTATTAAAAGTGGCATTATAGTGCAAACACCATAAAAGTTTGTTTTCAAATTTTAGGTTTTGTTCATTTCAAATTATATTGAGCTTACACTCAAATCCAAAACTAAATTTGTAAATTGCTAACCCCTTTTTTTTTATACATATAGATTAATAAAACCCCTTACTTATTAGTTATTATTGCTTGAATAAAAATATTTATAAAAAGAAAAAGCAACAAGGTAAGTACTAAAAATCCCAAACCCGCATCCAAATGGTTTCTTTTGAGCCTGATAAGATCTACGGATATGGACCCAACCCACAACCTCCCTTAAACACTAACAACATTTCTCCACTCTCCTCTTCCCCGCTCCCTGGCTGGGTTAGGAATTGGATCTCCACGTCTTCAACTTTGAATGGCTTTCATCCCCCTTTCTAAGCCATACCAATTGAAACCTGGCAGTTATCCCAGAATCTCAAACCCTTTGCATTTCTTCGCATCAAGCCTAGATCCAACCACAGCTTCCGAAGAGTTAAACAATGAGCCACCTCAGCAAGAAGAAAAAGTGCTCAACAACAACCAGTGAGCCCCACGTGGTAAGACACGAAGCCCTGATAAAGTAGAGGATATTGTTTGTAGAATGATGGAGAAACGGGCTTGGACGACCCGCTTACAGAACTCCATCCGTGCTTTAGTCCCCGAATTCGATCATTCATTAGTTGATAATGTACTTCATGATGCTAAGAACGCGGTGCAGGGCCTCCAGTTCTTCCGGTGGGTGGAGCGGGCTGGATTGATTCGCCATGACCGTGAAGCCCACATGAAGATCATTCAGATTTTGGGTCGAGCTTCCAAGCTCAATCATGCCAGATGCATACTTCTAGACATGCCCCAAAAGGGCGTTGAATGGGACGAGGATTTCTTTGTAGTCTTGATTGATAGTTATGGGAAAGCCGGATTAGTTCAAGGGGCTGTAAAAATGTTCCAGAAAATGAAGAAATTGGGTGTGGACAGGACTATCAAGTCTTATGATGCTTTCTTTAAGGTTATACTGCGACGTGGTCGACATATGATGGCCAAAAGGTATTTCAATAAGATGTTGAGTGAAGGGATAGAGCCCACTCGTCAAACCTAAACATCATGCTTTGGGGTTTCTTTTTATCACTCAACTTGACACGGCTGATCGGTTTTATGAGGATATGAAGACTGGGGGCATTTCACCTGATGTCGTGACTTATAATACAATGATTAACGGATATTGTCGGTTCAACAAAATGGTGGAGGCAGAGAAGTTGTTCGTAGAGATGAAGGGAATCAACTTAGTACCTACAATGATCAGCTACTCTACCATGATAAAGGGATATGTTGCGATGGAGCAAGTTGACGATGGATTGAGATTGTTTGAAAAGATGAAGTCCTTTGGTATTAAGCCTAATGCAACTACATATTCAACTTTGTTGCCAGGGCTGTGTGATGCGCGCAAAATGACCGAGGCTAACACTATTTTGAAGGAGATGGTGGAGAGGCATATTGCACCAAAGGATAATTTAATTTCCATTAAACTGTTAAATAGTCAGTGCAAAGCTGGCAATTTGAATGCAGCTAGTGATGTGCTCAAGGCAATGATTCGATTGAGTATCTCAACAGAGGCTGGTCATTGTGGCATCTTGACTGAGCACTTTTGCAAGGCGAACGAGTTTGATCGGGCAATCAAGTTGCTGGATAAGCTAGTTGAGAAGGAAATTATCTTTAGGCCAGAATATTCTTTGGACATGGAAGCTAGTGTTTATAATCCAATGATTCAGTGTCAGCGCCACCACAGTCAGACAGGAAAAGCAGAAATCTTTTTCCGGTAATTGATGAAGGGTGTTCTGGATCCTACTGCATTTAATAATTTGATCCAAGAGCATGCAAAAGAAGGAAATCCTGGTTTCGCTTTTGAAATTCTAAAGATCATGGGTAGGAGAGGGGTGCCCAAAGATGCAGATGCTTACAACTTGCTTATTGAAAGTTACTCAAGGAAGGTGAAGCCGCTGATGCTAAAACAGCATTGGACTGTATGATTGAGGATGGACATCTTCCCGAGTCTGGTATATTCAAGTCAGTCATGGAGAGTTTGTTTGAAGATGCAAGGATTCAGACTGCAAGCAGAGTTATGAAGAGCGTGGTGGAGAAGGGAGTGACGGAGCATATGGACTTGGCTGTTAAGATTTTGGAAGCTCTCCTAATAAGAGGTCACGTTGAAGAAGCCCTTGGACGAATTGAGCTACTCATGCAAAATGGCTGTGCACCCAATTTAGGTAGCCTTCTCTCTATTCTTTCTGAGAAAGGAAAGACTATTGCTGCCCTCAAGTTGTTAGACTTTGGTTTAGAGAGAGACTGTTAACATAAACTTTTCGAGTTACGAGAAGGTGTTGGATGCTCTCTTAGCTGCTGGAAAGACTCTCGATGCATGTTCAATATTGTGTAAAATATTGGAGAATGGAGGGATCACTAACTGGAGTAGCCTTGAGGATTTAACCAACAGCCTTAACCAGGAGGGGAATACAAAGCAAGCAGATATACTTTCTAGAATGATAAAAGGAGGGGATGCAGCTAGTGGAAGCAATAAAGAGAAGAAACAAGCTAATGTTGCTAGCTAAATTATCTTTCGAATATTTTGGATAGTTCTATCGTTAGAATAATGATCATGCTGTGTTCATTTCAAATGCATGGAGGTAAAGCTTTGCATGGCTCATTAAGCCCTTTGATACCGTCTATCTAGAATTTTTAGGGTCCCATATGAGCATTGCTGGTGATAAAGTTGGGGATGAATGGCTTAAATATTATTGCCAATTGATTTATGCGACAAAGAATCAATGCCGGTCCCCCAGCTGCCGGGTCTAATCTCACTACTTGAGATGAGAACAGCGAGCAAAATGCTCATAAAAAATTAAGAAATCTTTCTCCGCGAAGTAAACTCAAACCCTACTCAAACTCAAATAAAATTAAAGATTCACCTCATTTTTAAATTCGGAAGCCCTCAGTGATTCAGACACATTAGACAAATGAAAGGTCACAAGGAATTTCAAAACAACAAATCTCCAAAACACCACCATTTGAGAAATGCAAACATTAGCAAGTATTGCAGAAAAAGTGCAAGATTTTAGAAGTTAATGCAAATTCATATTACAAAGAAAACAAAAGAACAATAGTCCAGCTGCTCCGGAGTCTTCTTCAGCAAGACAGAATAATATAGGGCAATTTTATTTTTTCTCCCTCACTCCATTGGCCAAGTTTCCTGCGTTTAGCACCAAATATCATGGGCTACTATGTCAGAATCAAAGAAATGAAAGTGTGCAGAACCATGCACACAAGGCAGGATGTATGTTACTCTTGGGAAACATGCCGCTAGAAACTTGTCTAGGAGCATGCACACACAACCAAACACACGTGACACATGAAGAATTGCCCAAGATGCGTAGAATTGTGGCAATACTAATTCCCTTCCTTTTGTATGATGTGCAAAGTAACTAAGACAAATCCAACACCATAACTAATCTTCTGAAGCAGAGACTTGCTTGTAGTCTTCTCTTATGCATGCTTACATATTCTTGTTAAAATTTGCCATATAAACTATCATTAAAAAATTATATAAAAAAAGAAAAAAATACAAGAGTCAATCCAATTAGTATATATGGAGTGGTAACCAAATCTGCAGCAACCAGAAGCATCTCCTACAAGTAGGAAGCGCATTGTATGTCACATTCACATAAGACATATAAACATAAATGAAGTAGTAACATTTCAAAACAAAGGCTGGCCTCGTGGGTGGACGGTAAGATTTCCTACAAATATATTCAATAGTCAGCCCTTGACATAAAACCACCACTTCAGCACATTTGAAATGGACATACAAATCAAAATCACTTGTATAGTTGTTAAACTTGGCAGTAAACAATTAATAGATGCAACATGAATTATAACGTTTAAAATTGGAATATTCTTGACTGATCTAAAAGAATTTATGCTTTGTTATGCAATTTCGTTATTGCTTATTAATGTAAATAAGTTTGTGTTATCATTACTATTTTTACTGTCACTTTGATTCTATTCATATGTATATTTTATACCTCACTCCGAAGACCATTGGAGACTAATTTACAGTTTCTTTGCCTTTGTAATTATCTATGTACCTTTTAGTCACTTGGCTAATACATTTTGACGGAAAAGAATATATTTTTTTGGATAAAGAATATTAATATATGTTTAACGTTGGAAAATTGATAAGCTTTGTTTGATTGCCAAGAAGAATGCAGAAACAAATCGAAAATATGGAGATTAAATGAATCATGCAACTAAAACCAAAACAAAAATAAAAAAGAGAAGAATAGCAATAAAAATCCCCAGTCAGTAAAAAATAGAAATTTAACTGAAAACCCTAATAAGTTGACATCTGATCATAGGAACGGAAAATCTGCGGGTGCATCTGTCCCGAAAGGAATAAAGATTAAGCCAAAACATCAATAGAAAGGAGAAATTTCAAAGAAAAAAGAAAAAAGTACAAGTATTAAAAAGAGATCAGTTAGAGGAAGAGAAAGAAAGGTTTTCCAAGAGCTTTTTATCCCTTCTTTCCATGGCAACGTCCCACATATCGTTTCCGATGTGCTTGGGCTGTTTCATCGTATAATTTCAGTCAAAACCAAAGAAGCAATCCAAGAAATCGATCTTAATTTCAAAAAATATTACCCCCCCCCCCCCCCCAAAAAAAAAAAAAGGTAAAAGAAAAGGAAAACGGGCCCGGCCATCATAAGGTTTGTGGATGTAGTACTGAGCATTGCCCATAACGCAGAGCATTCCTGCTATGATTCCGAGGGTAAGTGCTGCTTCCAACCATATCCACTCCATTCTTTCAACTCTCTCTGCTTTCACTCCTTCCCTTTACCCATCTTTATGTCCCAATCTTCTTCACCTTTATGCCCTTCTTACGACTATACAGTTTTCCTTCCATAAAACCACGCGCGTGCACACATACAAAAGGATCAAACAGTTCAAGCTTTTAGCCCAACCGTTATAAAATGGGCCGTCCAACTTCATTCCATTGGCTCCTTAACTACGAAAGAATTCATCACATTTGTAACTAATAATGAAAATGAAAATGTGTATATTTTCTTGTAAAAATGAGCATTTGATAGATTACTTTGTAACTTTACATAATTTCTTAATAATTTTTTTAGCTAATTCGGCTTCTGAGTAATTCGAAGTACCAATTCAATTAGTAGCTTTATATAACCATATAGAAGCACGCATTTATACTCTAACACTTATGTGTTCGTGCAATTTTTTTTTCTTTTAGAGGATCTTAACACAAATTTAAGTTATCTAAAATTAAATGTAAGGATTTATATATATATATATATATATATATAAAAGGGTGAATTTAAAAGTATTAAAAGTAATCGATCTAAATATATTTATGAATTCTTAAATTAATAAATTTATTTTTAAATATATAATTTTTATTAATTAATTTAAGTTTAATTTAACTCAACTAAAATTAAAAATAAAATTTATATGAAATTAAACTATTTAAAATTTTAAAATTCTAATTTCGAAAATGTTAAAAATGATTGACTAAAAAAGTTTTAGTAATTTTTTGATAAATTTTAATTTAAATAAATTTTCTTTTTTATTATTAAATTTATTTATAATTAGGCTAAAAAATACCAAAAATAATTAACTAAAATACTTTTAGTAAAATTTTAATTTCAAAAATGTTAAAAGCAATTGAGTAAAATACTATTATTAATTTTTTATAAATTTTTATTTAAATAACTTTTTTTATTGTTAGACCTTTTTGTAAATTAGAATGATTTTTCAATCAAATAAAAATGTAAATAGAAAGAGATCAAAATATAATGTGCATATAAATAAAATAATTACATAAAATTTGTTTATTTAGTTATTGTACAAATAATTGTATATGTAGATTATGTGATAAATAAATTTATTAAAGGTAATTATAATTCAGTTATTGAAACATATTTGTTTTTTTTTTAATTTTTGCCTTTCAATTTTTTGTTTTCATAGATTTATTAATTATATATGTATGTTAATGGTTTTAGCATTTATATGTTTTATGAGTTGATCATATGATTATTAATAATACAATTAAATCTTTTTAATCCCTTAAAATAATTCTTTAATATATCATATTTACAATTTAGTCTGGTTTTCTATAATTAATTTCTTTTTTTCTTTAGAATTTTATAATTATTATTCTCATGAACAAAAACTAATTTCAAATCAAATGCAAATTAATTGCACAACCTCCACCAACAATTAACATTATTTGATTTATTGAACACTTTAATTGGACTTTTCAATTATAGAATTAAATGATTCAAGAGGTGGTGAGCTAGTAGTAGCTCAAGATTTAAGTCATGCCAAGTTGCCATAAGCATTATTTACCTTGAATGAAATAATAATTAATTTACTTTTCTTTCAACTTTTATCTTAATGTGCATATATATATTACTAAATTATATCTCAAAATTATTTAATCTTTCTTAATTTTATTAAATTGCTCATCTAGTGATTGGACAACCTAACAAGAATTATTCTATGTAGAAAACTATTAAGTAAAGTAAAATTAATTATTTTATGTGAATTTTTTCAAGGTGTGATAAACTTCATTGCAATTATCTTTTTAATGTGTTTTATTCCAAAATTATAATCATTCATCAAAACTTATATTGTTAATACTGAAAATAAAATCATTGTAGATTATAAAAGTATTACATAACAAGTTTGTTATTTTGAGAATTGGAATTTTCTTAAAAAAAAATGATTAAGTACAATGTTAAAATTTTATTTTATTTCATTTTAATTTTCAAAATTATGTATTTTAATATTGTTGTATAATAAAAACTTGTGCATAATAAAAATTTTCAAATAAAAAAATTAAATTTTCAACCGGTAATACGTATAATTACATTCAATTAGGGAAATACTAATAGAAAATTATTTTAAGTAAAAAAATTAGATGAAAAATTGAATGATTATACATAACTTTATCTTCTTCATATCACAAAAAGGGTTAGTGCTATATGATGTTTTAATGAAAAATATACAAATATATTGATTTCAAATTTTTTTAAGATTAATATGAAACTCTTTTATTAAGAGAAACATTATATACTTTTTTATTTTCCTATTTATACCAATTGAAGAATATCAATTCTTGTATAAAAATTTTTAAAGTTCCCATATTATGCAATATTTGTTCAAAAGAATTGAAATTTATCAAAAATATAACAATATTGTTATAAATTATAATTTAACTAAACTTAAAAATTATTGTAAAATAAAAACTAAACTTAAAAAAGATTTCCAGGGCATTAATTAGCAAAATTCATTTGCTAAATCTTTATTTAATTATGTATTTAATATTTCAATTATTTTGATTTTTTATTTTTTTTTATAGTACTAAGTTACTTAAGATCATCAACCAATTAGATTCAGTCAAGTTTTATCATCTATTTTTATTTGTAGTGTACTCAATTATTCACTTATGTATATGAGCAAATTTGACACAATAATGAGTGTATGCTTTTCTTTGTTTAAAAGTTGGATTCAAATTATCATAAAACCAAATAAAAGAAGTATGCTCAATTCCTTATAATTGTAATTTCACCTTACAAATACTCTTAAGATCAATTAATTAATTTAACCATAAAGACAATAAAAATAATACATTGAAGATGAAAGGGAAAAAAAAACTTAAATAAAGAACTTTTAAATTATTACAAAAGATGAATAAGACATATTGAATTTTGATTGCATTATATGTCAATTCAAATTTTTGTTATATTCAATCATTTCGAGTTTTAAATAACTACTAAATTATTAACTTTTTAAAATTAATTGAAAATCGAGTCAAATTAGTTATTTTTATAATTATGTGTATTATATTATTTTTACTTAAATTAAAATTTAAAGTCACAATGATAAGCACACTGTTAGAGCTACCATTAAAAGCAAGACAAAAGTCTTACAAGATTATGAATTATATACAAACTTAGAAAGAGGGAGATAAATCTTAAATAAGAGTAATTCTTTGTCAGACAATGCATATTTTTTATTTTATTTTCTTAAATATTACCTATTATAACTTGATAAATGTTATTCATCAGCCTAGATTGAGAAGTGAGAAAGTGATAGCAGTTGAGATAAGCAAGGGCAAGAAAAAGGTTGTTAAGGATGTAATTGGCACTCAAGAAAGTCAAATTCTTGGTTCTAAAAGAAATAAGGGAAAACAAAAAATTTGAGAAGTTGATATTTTATTTTGTTGAATATTGCTACTAGCTGTTTATATATTGCACTGGTACAGAGAAGGTCATAAGTTTTGAGGACAATGACAATGCAATGGGTGATTGGAAGTATTAAAATAAAGTTTCTGTGTCCACCGTTGTAGTTTTTACATTAGTAATGGTTGCAGCAACTGGTTTAGGTGCAGTTCCATTTTTCTTTGTGGAGCTCGATCCTCAATGGGCTGGCATATGTAATGGAATGGCTACTGGTGTCATGTTGGCTGCAAGTTTTGATCTCATACAAGAAGGGCAAGAACATGGTGCTGGAATTTAGGTTGTGATTGAGATTTTAGCAAGTGGCATTTTTACCTTGCTTTGTAAGAAGGTGATCACCATCTTTCTTTTCAGTTATTAGGTTTGATCTACTGCTTTTGTAGAATTACGATATACTAGGCTCTGATTAAGGGCCACTATTCTTGTCCCACTTCAATGCATAGAGTAAATATACATATATGCAGATTAAGTTTCTATTTTAGACGTTGCAAATGAAAAAAAAAGAAGAAGGTTTTCACTTTTTCAACGCCTATCATAGATAAGATCATTAATGCTTTTGATGAGACTTTAAGACTGCTAATGTTGCATGCGATACACAATGCTCTCCTTTTAATTTGTAATCTTGTGGTTTCTTTTTACTTGTAGGAGATTTTAACATCTTAAAAATTTTCCCATCGTTCTGGGTTTCAGTTTCTTGAACAATGTGGGGAAGTGAGTATGCTGGGTATAAAAGGAGCATATGCTACTAAAGTTGTTCCTGTCGTTGGAATTATGACCCTCCATTCATTTGGAGAGGGCTTTACCATTGGAGTTTCCTTTGCTGGCTCAAAAGGCTTTACTTAAGGCCTTTTGGTAACTTTGGCCATAGCTGTGCATAACATACCAAAGGATTGGCTATGAGCATGGTGCTTGTGTCACGATCCTAAGGAGAAGTCGTGAATCTCACATCGATTGAGTACTAGAGTTGGTCTTAGGATATAAGGGTTCACACCACGTTTTCCTTTTGAGGTGTTTTTTACGGGACAAAATTGTGAGGCCAGAGTGGACAATACCTCCTCATAAAAGTGTAAATCGTAATAGGTAGGTTGATCTGGGATGCCAAATGAGTGCATGCCCGAGTTCTAGAGCTGCACGAGCGACAAATGATATCAAAGCCAGCTTTAAGGGTACTAGCGATGTACCACCGAGGACAGTAGGCCTTTACTGGAGTGGGAAAAGATGTCATAGTCCTAGAGAGTAGTCATAAATCTCACATCAATTGAGTACTAGAGTTGGTCTTAAGATATAAGAATTCACACCACCTTTTCATTGAGAAATACTTTTTGTAAGACAAAATCGTGATCCCAGAGAGGTCAAAGCGAATAATATTTTACAAGAGTGTAAACCATGGTATGTAGACTGATTTGGGACGTTAAATGAGTGCATGTTCAGATCCTAGAGCCGCACGAGCTTGAAGGTTGAGTCTTAGCCCTTGACACTTGCATCAAGGGGTGTTTCTCCGCATAATGTAATGCTATGGAGTGTAATTACATCCTTACCGCAGGTATCTAATTATATAATGCTGTTAATCAGGCTTTGAGCATATCTGTCTGCATCAAAGGAAACAGTTCTAACTTAGAACTTCCAAGATTAGGTTGAAAAGGAAAAGTAAAAAACGCAATGGTGAAGTAGACAAGTTAGTTAAAATTAAAGACCAGGTAAATATTTTCAATGAAGGATCCATTGTCAAC